CTAAAAAGTAGCCTGAGTGACCCCCAGAGGCTTCCAGGAGGATGGGCCTTATTGATGTGGAGGTGGCACACACAGTGCAGAAACGTCTCTCGGGGCTGTGGTAGCAGGGCCCAGGGTGGGCGCGACCAGAACCAGGCAGGGTGTGGGGGCCCAGCAATCAGCGGACCCTTTTCAGGCTCTTGCAGTGGCCTAGGCATCGTTGGCTCTGAGGGGATGGGGACAAAAGTGAGGCCAGTTCTGATCTCAAGGCCACCCCTCCTGCCCTGGAAGTATGGTATGTTCCCCATCAGCTGGAAGATAAACATACTCAGGGATGGATGTGGGAGGGGGGAGGGGTGATGTTGACCCCTGAGGAGGCGCCTCTGGGTTTGAGGCTCTTTGGGAGCCAGGGTTTCTGAGGGGGGGAGGTGGGGAAGGGAAGGGAGGAGAGGAGGGGAAGGGAGGAGGGGAGGGGAGCACCTCTGCATTGGGGAGCTTCCGCTGAATGGAGTATTGTGTCCATAGAAGAGCCAGCCTGTCCCCTGGGGGCATTGTAGAGTTTGAAGGTGTATGTACAGGAGGCTAGGGCAGGTCCTGCTTGGCCCTCGAGGCCCCAGTTCAAAGGAGGGAGCCCCAGGGATGACTTGGCCATCCACTGGCTCGGGGCAGGCTCTTGGGGGGGCGTGGGTGGGCAGGGACAACCACCTCGGGAGGGTTTGAATGTTGTTGGGGCCTTTCACAGACCCAGCTCCTGCTGGAAAGCCATGGCTTGTGCCCAGGCTGGGCCCTGGGGCCACCATCCCTTCTCTCTCCTCCCTTTGGTGAGGGACTTCTTGAAGAGGCATTTCTGCTGTTTCGGCCCCTCCTCTCCTCTGCACTCTGGTTCCCGACCTCATCCTTCATCCCAGACAGCTCTCTGCAGAGTTGCCCATGTCTCCTAATTAACAGCTGACATTTCTGTAGCACGCTGTAGACCCTGTGCTAGATGCTTTACGGTTAGTATCTCATTTGGGCCTCACAAGAACTCTGGGAGAGAGGTTTATTATGATCCCCATTTTATAGATGAGGAAACTGAGGCAAACAGCAGTTAAGTGATTCTCCAGGGTCGTGCAGCTGTCCAATGTCTGGGGCTGGATCCGAGCACAAGTCATCCTGACTCCAGGCCCAGTATTCCATCCAGCCACCACATGTAAAGGACTGTCGATCCCCTTCCTTCCTCCACGGGCTTGTCTCTCTCTCACTACTGCTCTTGCCTGCTTCTTCTCCTGCCCACCTGGCGGTTCCTTCTCAGTCTTCTGTGCTGAGTCTTCATCTGGCTTTTGCTTCTGAGCTGTGGCTGTCTCCACGGCTCTGCGTCGGGCCTCTCCTCACTCCCTTCATTAGCTGGCCCCTTGCTACCTCTCCAGTCTTTAGTCCCCTCCGTGGGCACTCTTCTGTTTGGGACAGGGTGGTGTTTGGCCTGGGTGCAGCCCGGAGCCACCCTAGAATTTTCACAGCTGTATGAACCAGTTCATCTTGGGTGAAGTAAATAACAAGAAAGGTGTGTCTCTGGCGATGGCCTGGCCCCTTTCCTGACAAGGCAGGTGGGCAGTCTGAGTCTGACTTGGACCCGTGGCGTGTAGCCGTTCCTTATTAGACGAGTATTGCATTCTGTAAGTTCCTACTGCGTGTGCCGCTGAGCAGTGCCATAGACAAATTGGAAAACATGAACTGCTAGCTCTTGACAGTTAGGAAGCCCTGCACTCACCCTCGTCCTGACTCTGTGGCTGGCTCAGTGACCACAGCAAGAGCCCTGAGAGCATTTCTGCTTTGCCTTCTTGGAGGGCAGATAATGAGATTCAGTGCGTCTACACTGGAACCTCAGCTCAGCCAGGTCCATGTGGACAGTGCCCCAGCGCCCATGTGGGACTGGGCCCCTCGTGTGTGTGAGGATGGCTTTCAGGATCCCAGTGTCTGGTGGGACCGGACCCCTCGTATGTGTGTGTGTGTGTGTGTGTGTGTGTGTGTGTGTGTGTGTGTGTGTGTGTATGGCCTTGGGGGCCCCAGCATCTGGTGGGACCAGGCCCCTCGTGTGTGTGGAATGACCTTGGGGGCCCAGCGTCTTATGGCACCATTCAGGGCCGGCTAGATAGGTTTTCCAGTCTTTGCCTGACCACAAGTTGGAGCCCAAGCTGGCCTGGCATTTCTCTGTGTTTAGTATCCCCTGATAAACAGTTGTTTGTGTTTGAGTTGGCTCCAGATTGGTAGCTGTTTGAGGGGAAAAAAGGAAAAAAACTCTGAATGAAGACAACCTGTCTTAAATATAGTGCAGGAGATAAAGATAGTAGACACGTTAGGCCTGATATGCTTTGAAGGTTAGTATAAAAATACCTCCAGGCAAAATCGATGCTCCATTTGTAGAGAAAATGAAGCATTCCACATGCCGGCTGCTTCTTTTCCCAGCTCAGCCCTAACCGTTAGGAACGGTGGAGGCAGCCTAGGGCAGGGAGGCGTCCTGGTGGGCACCACAGTGGCTTTGCAGTCAGCGGGTCTGGGTTCAAATGGTGCCTCTGCCACCTAATGCCCATGTGATATTGGCCAGTCTTCTCTAAAATGAGGGGCTTGGGCTGCACAGCCTTTGTGGTCCCGTCTAGCTCTGGACCTTCCAACTTGGAGCCAAGTGGCAGCCAAGTCCTGACAGGTTCCCTTGTTTCACACTCCCGTCTATGAAAGGGGCTTGCCAGGCCCTCCGAAGGACAGAGGATTGGATGACCCAGAGGCATGGCTGCTGTGGAGGCCCCACCCCCATTAAGATGGCCTCAAGGCCTTTCCATGTTAGAATTCTGGAAGTGGATCTTACTTAGACAGGGTTGTCCTGAGATTAGCTGAGATGGAAGGAATATGAACTTGGGGAAAGCATCGCTTGGTGGGATTGTTTGCTGTAGGGGATGAGCCCTCCCCACAGCTGGAGTCTAGCTGTGTGACTGAGAGTTGATACAGGCCTAGGGCTGAGGCAAGCTAACCCCGGCCCGCATGTGAACAGGGTTAAGCCTCTTCAGGCAGCCAGATGAAGCACTGTCCTCAAGCCTGTGTCTCGGCCTGCTCCGCTGGGCCATCCGCTGCGTGTCAGGGGTGATCCTTGGGCTCTTGAGGCGTTCCCAGTTCTCTCGACCATGCTGAGATTGCATAGATGTTCCCCAGGTCTGCGTGTGTTGAGACACCAGTTACATTGCCTTTTTCTCAACTGCTTCACTGAGGATGTATGTGGTCCCACCTTTGCCTTTGGGATTTCCCATTCTTGCCTTCTGGCTGCTCAGGTGGGAGTTGTCACAGTCATGGGCTCGTTGCTGTCCACCCTTCTAAATTGGCACCACCTGAGTGCTCTTGTTTCTAACCGGTATCCCTCCCCCTTCCCTTCCAGAGAGCCATCCCACCTATCAAATATTATTCTTGGAAAGACCTCTCCCCCAAAAAAAACAAATGTGTCTATATAGATATAGACATGAGACCCGGGTCACAGAAGGTCCAATGCCTTCTCCGGTCCCTTCCTTCTACCCCTCTACAGCTTCCATCTGGCTGCTCCTAAAGCCTATCTCTGAGCAGCAATTCCAGGGGCTCCCTAGATCTACTGGGAGAAAACGCCACGGACCATTCTGCTGGAAACGTAAAGCCCCCTGACTCTTCCAGGCTTATTTGCATTACAAATGCTCTGGCCAGACCAGCCGGCCTTCTCGGCTGAGCTGGTAGGTGATGCCTGCGATCTCCCTCCTCACCTGGCTTGAGACTCTGCTCACATTATGCCTGCCTTCCCAAGGTCTTTCCCAGCCCCCCCCCAACTGCTGGTGCCCCTCCCCCATTGCCTCGTAGTTCTTTTGTCTCTGTTGTTTCTTCTTCTCTGTGTCCAAGTTGTTTCCTGATGGAGTATAAATTCCTTGAGGCCAGGCAGGGCCTGTCTGCTCCTGCCTGTAGTGTCTCCTTCTCTTCCCTATGCCAAGCATGTCAACGTGGGTTTTGTTTGAGGGAGCTGTCACCAGGGCTTGCCGCTCCCAGCTGGGTCACCCGGCATGGGAAGCGTCCTGGCCTGTTGGTGGTCACCTGAGATGACCCCTCTGGAAGCCCAGTGGGTCTCCTATCATTTTGGCGACTTTCTGACGTTAGCCTGAAGCCTCCTGAGGTTGGTTTGGCTTTTCCTTTATTTTGCCATACATTCACTTGGCCCGGGGGCCCCGGAGTCTCTGTGAAAACACCTTGGCCTGGGAGCGGTGGAGGGCACTTTCTTGGCTCGGCCTGGTAAACGTGTTCCTCAAGAGGGCCCTTGTCTGGCCGTGACCACAGAGCCTGCTCCTGCTGGACCCCCGAGGGCACAGTCCGTCCTTGCCCTCAAGCGATGCTTTGCCCTCTTCTGCCATGTCCAGTGAGCCTTCTCTCACTGTCCCATTCGTGAGTGAGTTGGGGGAGAGGGGCTGCCCCAGGATGACTTCCCTTTGGGAACGTCGGGTCAGGGTGAAGAATCAAAACCGGGTGGGGTGAGACACAGCTGAGCACCTTGGAGAGGCAGTGGAGGGGGGTGGGGATTGGCTGGTGGGCTTCTGCCTCCTCTCCCGCCAGGATTTGCTGTCAGCTGCTTTCATCCCTCACCAGTCACCTTGGAGCCCTCCCCCCACAGGAGTCGTCAGGTGACCCAGATCCTCCTCTCCGAGCCCTCCTTGGGTCTGTCTCCACGTGCCCTGAGAGGCCCATCAGCCTGCCTACATTTACGAAGCACCCACTGTGTGCCAGGGATTGTGCTGGGTTCTGGAGCTATAAAGACACACATGAAAGTCTCTGCCTCGGGGAGCTACCGTTCTTCTAGGGGAGACACCCGCGTCCACACCCCGATACGTATCCGATACCGAGCGTGCGTGAGGCCGTTTGAGAGGAGGTGGCGGCTTTTAAGGAATGGGGGAGGCCACCACGACCGACCGGGGTGGGGGGGATGGTGTGCGTGGCCGTCCGCTGCAGCCGCCTCACCGGCTGTGTTCCTTTCTCTTTCCCGGCTGCAGCGGACGTGAGCCCAGCACTGCCCCTCCAAGTGGCGCCCTCCGCTGTGCCCATGGACCTCCGCCTGGACCACCAGTTTTCCCTGCCGGTGACGGAGCCCACGCTCCGCGAGCAGCAGCTGCAGCAGGAGCTGCTGGCCCTGAAGCAGAAGCAGCAGATACAGCGGCAGATCCTCATTGCCGAGTTCCAGCGGCAGCACGAGCAGCTCTCGCGGCAGCACGAGGCCCAGCTCCACGAGCACATCAAGGTGAGCGAGGGAGCCCGAGGCACCTGGCCATGGCGGAGAGGCTGGGAGGAGCAGGGAGCGAAGGGGCTCGGCCTCCCCCCCTGCTCCCGGGGTGCCTGGGCGGGAGCGTCTCCTCTGGGCCCGCTCCCACGGGAGCCTTCAGCTCTCTGGCCCGCGGAATCTGAGGGCGGGACCTGGAGGCGGATGGGTGGGAGAATGGTGGGCTCCGGCTCGAGGGGCAGGTCAGCATCCGAGGGCGTGCGCTGGAGCCCCTCACCCCCTTGTTACAGATGAGGAAACTGAGGCGTGGGGCCCCGCATCATTGCCCGGGGTCGCCGTGGCGGTGCCATGGAGCCACCGGGGCGAGGTCCTCTTCACGCTAACTGTGTCCTGGGCCCCCCAGCACTCAGCCTGGGGAAGCCTGGCTTCTCAGCCAGAACACAACAGGTGGAGGACAGGAGAAGCTGACTCTGTTGCTACATAGTGATCAGAATGTTTTTAAAAATCCCATTCCCTGGTCCCAGGTTGAGACCCCTGAGCAGCCCAGCCCCTTTATTTTATAGATGAAGAAACTGAGGCAGAAGAAGTTGTAGCAGAAGGAGCATTGTCAGGAGTGTGCACGAGGGGTGGGGGGAGACAGGGGACCGAGGCCCAGAAAGCTGACATTGCCCTGCCTGGGGATCCTGCCCAGAGGCACTGGAGAGCCAGGGGCAGAAACGGGACCAGAGTCCAGGGCTCTTTGCTCCCAGGCCGGTTCATTGAGGCCGCTGGCAGCACAGAAGACAGAGTCAGGAAGACCTGGGTTCCAGTGCAGCCTCAGACACTTCCTAGCTGGGTGGCCCTGGGCCAGTCACTTAACCTAGCTTGCCTTGGTTTCCTCATCTGTATAGTGAAGATAATACTAGCCCCTGCCTCCCAGGGTTGTTATGAGGATCAAGTGAAAATAACAGCCCTAAGGTGCTTAGCGCGGCACCTGGCACGCAGTAGGCACTTCATCAGGGGTGGCTGCCCACCGCCACCAGCTGAGCCCCTGCAGGTGCAGACCGGCTCTCTGCCATGTGCCCAGCTACTCTGCGTCCAAGGGGGAGGCCCCAGCATGCAGCGGCCCACCACGCTTGCCCACCAGCCACACCCTCACCTGTACGTTCACAGTCGTGTGTGTGCACACACGTGGACACCCTCATTCATACGCTCACACTTGTGTGCTCACACACATGCACATGAGCGCACACGTGGACACCTTCATCCATATGCTCGCACTTGTGTGTTCACACACATGCACACGTGCACACTCTTACTCTAAGTATGTATCCACACACACTCACTCATACACGTGTATGCCCTCATATACTCACACATGCACAAGCATGAACGTTCTCACTCACATACATGTTCTCTCACACACTCTCACATATACACACACACACAGATTCATACACACATACCCCTTTCTGTATACTGCCTCTGTCCCCCACACACTCACAGTCACACCCCCTCAGACACACATGCACACGTACTCTTTCCTCATCATGGCCTTGCCTGGCTCTCGTCTCTCTCCCTCCTGAGGAGTACACCGAGGCCTCGCGGGGTGGGGGTAGGGGTGGGGGCCAGATGGGCAAGTTCCCCTGTCTCTGAGGATGAACCTGGTTTCTCCAGACCCAGGGGCTGATCTGTCGAGGGTCTCTGCTTCATCTTGCTCTCTGCCGCGTCCTCGTGGGCCCTGAGCATGGGGTGTCCCAAGGGATACCAGGCCAAGCTGACTAGGGGCTTGGGTGGCACCCAGACCCTCTGTGCTGTGCCCGGGCAGGGAATCTGGGGGCATTTTGTCACCTTTTACAAAGGATACTCGCCCTCTAGAGATGGTTTTAGGACACCTCATGTGAAGAGTAAGGAAGGGTAGGCAAAGGGGAGTATTTTGTCAGTCTCCTGTCCTGGAAAATGGCTCCAGTGATGCACTGAAATTCTCTCCTGGGTGTAAGTAAGAGGAAGTCACTTACCCAGTGCTTGCTGGGAGGCCCAGATGAGAGCCGTAGACATATGAGGACCACAGTCCTTTGGTCACTCGAGATTTATGGGCCTAGAGGGGAAGGGCCCCTGGGCTGGGTTTAGTCCCATATTTGGGCCTCAGTTTCTGCTCCTCAGACTTCTGGGCAGTGCCTCGGTTTCCCCATTTCAGCAGTGAGGTGTTTAGGTCCCGTCCAGCTCCTAATCCACAATGCCCAGGTTGGTGATCCTTTGACCATGCCAGGCCCCAACCTCTTGGAGGTTCCAGACTCCCCAAGGCGTTATTCCAGATTTTCCCTTTGTCTGAAAGTTGTTGTGTTTGTGTTCGAGCTCCGGGCTTTGCCGATGCCGGGATGAGCCCACGGCTCCGGCCCCCTGGGAGGCTTCTTCACCCAGTCACAAGCCTCCATCACAAGCCAGGCTCCAAGCCCATGGTCCTGTTTGGGGAGCTGGGTGGGGGCTTGTCACGCAGAGGGGGACCATTGTCAGGGGCGAGCAGCATGTGGTCACTGAGGGGCAGTCAGCACAGTGGTGGCCCCTCGCCTCCCGACCCAGAGCGTGAGTGGCAGTAGGGGTCTGAGCTGATGAAGGCAAAGACCTGGATTCTTGTGTAGAAGCCGCAGGCTCCTGTGATCTCAGGACATGACGTTCTCGTGATGTTGTCTGGGCTCGTGGGCCCACGGTGGGCACTTCAGATGCCCGGGCTTCCCCGATCGGCTCTTCGCCCTTGTACGTGGGTCCTTTCACTCTGGGCGGCATCATCTAAAGTCGAGTGATATCGTAGATAGGCTTGTAATGCCATTAAGGCGCTGGAGTGATATTCCTTTCTCCCTTATTCATATTTGTCAGGGCTGGCTGCCGGCCTGCGGCCCGAGGCCTGTGTCAATGAGCTGGGAAAGCAGACGACGTTTCAGGCAGGACCGCACTCCCACTAGCCTGGCTGAAATGGCCACAGACCCAACATGTTCTGACCCTTAAAAATATGCGTGAAAACAAGAAGCCTTCTGTGTTCCCCCACGTTGAAGGCACTTGAGTTTCAAGCCGTAGGGAGTGTGCCCCAGTGGTGGGGAGCTACCTACCCCTTCGCCTGCCCTGGGACTCCAGGACTGCTAGGTGACAATCTGATAAACTCATTACTGATGTCACCTTCCTCTCTCTCTCTCTCTCTCTCTCTCTCTCTCTCTCTCTCTCTCTCTCTCTCTCTCTCTCTCTCTCTCTCTCTTTCTCTCTCTCTCTCCTTCCTAGCTGATTATAATGGATTACCTTGAAATTCCCTCCTGTCTCAGGATACCTCCCCTTGGCCTGCCTCTTGTCCCTGGGCAGGGCACTTGAGTGGGATGCTTCTGGGCTTCCTGAGGGCTGTGTGGAGTCCTCTGGGGCAGCCAAGCCCTCAGACCAGCCTTCCTCCTTTCTGCTGGCCTGGAAGGCCTTGGCTGTGGCCTTCCAGCATTTTTTTTTCATTGCCTGTTTGGCCTTTATTGGGGTCTCCCAGCCTGCTAGCACCCAACTTCGTGCTCCCAGGGTCGTTGGTTTCCTCCGCCAATGCTGCCCCCTCACCCCATCCCCCTCCCTATGCGAGGGCTGGTAAATGGCCTTGGAGACTTGCTTAAACAGAATGTCACCCCGCTGTGGCCAGATTGAGGGCCCCTCACAGCCAGAGCTTAGAGTATGCCCAGAGCCCTCCAAGATGAGCCAGGGTCATTTCCAAATGGACAGGGTGAGGGCCGCAGGCTGGCTCCTGGGCCTCGGTTTCCAGTTCTCTTAAGTAGAAGTGAAGAGAGAGGTACAAAAGGAAGAGAGGACCCCCACTGCCTGTCAGCAAGGGCCTGGGCCCGTGGGACATCGTTTCTCACCAGAAAGAGGGTCATCTGGGTCATCTGCTCTGTGGTATGGGGTGTCAGAACATACAGGTGCACTTGTGGGCGGTCCTTTGCAGGGCTTTTCTGCCATTTCCCTCATTTGTATTAATCTATATAAATATATGGGAGTGGGAACACCGTTTATTCATTTAAAGTACATGATGTAAGAGAAGGAGGCTGGACCAGGTGATCTCCAGGCTTTCTCCTTAAAGAAAAGCCCCCCACCACAAATTCTGGCTTCTGTTGTCGTGGCTGGACGCAGGGTGCCCCCACCCCATTAGAAGGAATGTGGGCGTGGGCACCTGAAGAAGAGGCCGTAGCCTGGGAGAGGGGGTCGCCCCTGGAGCAGGACCAGGTCGGGGGGGGAGGGGCCCCCATCTCTCCATTCTGGCCTCGGGAGGATTCCCGAGCAGACACAGACCGGGCTGCAGGTGCCCACAATCCGTGCCAGGCTAGGCTTCCGTGAGTGTGCACGGTTGTGAGGAGCATGCAGATGGGGGGCAAGCGTGCCACAGCGGGTAGAGCCCTGACTCTGCGCTCAGAAGAGCTGGATTCAGTTCCTGCCTTGGACACTTACTGTCTGTAGGACCTTTGGCAGGCCTCTCGACAGCCCTGGGCCTCGGTTTCCCCTTCCCACTCTTAGTCTCGGCTCCTTTGAGTCTTGCATATTTCTTTTTCTGGCTCTGTGTCTTTTGAAAACTTGGGTTGGCCAACTGACCAGCTGGGTGTCCCCACCTAGCCCCAGTCTCGGTGTGGTGGCCGGTCACAAAGCTTCGGTCTGCTCCGTTCTCCCGGTGTGGCCTGATGTGGCGCTCACCTCCAGCCGGCTCTGGCCCAGATGGAGCTTGGAAGGCCTGCTCGAGCTCGGGGCACGCTTTGGCATCTGAGGAGGGGCTCCCCGCACCACACTGAGGTGCTGTCTGGGAGCGGGCCCTCCCCGGCCTGGCCCGTGACAAGTGGGGGGCGTCTGACCTCACCCTCCAGATCCCCTCGGCTCCTCTCCAGGAGCAAGCCTGTGGTCCGTGTGTGTGTGTGTGTGTGTGTGTGTGTTGTGTGTGTGTGTGTCCCCAGGCCCCCCAGGGAGGATGTCCCCAGAAACACAGCCCCCGCCTCCCTCCCCCAAGCTGCTGCTGCTTCCCGCTGGCCCAGAAAGCCCTC